GTGAGTTTCATTTCATTTTGTTCTCTTTTATTTGCACAACCCGGCACTTATCGCAGCATGTCTTTCTAGCAAAGCAGTAAAACAAATATTTCATCGAATTATAAGTAAGAAATGTTTATATAGAAATAGTTAAATCTATTGAAGTCGCTTATCGTCCGTTGCTTGGATGAACCATTTATGTTAACTTAAAATCGAGTTAAAATTTGTTACTTGATCTTTAAGAGAGGTTCTATGAGAATGAGAAAGGTGGGGATCATCGCAGTCTACGACGCACTAGTGAAAATTTCAAATTTCTGTTTTTTATGGGTGTCGGTGTGGGTGAATAGAAGAGCAAAACTAGCACTAACATACCCACACCCACACCCACACCCAAGCACACCCACACCCACACCCACACCCACACACCCACACCCACACACCCACACCCCCACCCACACCCACACCCTTCACATTTTTCACACTGAGAGCGAATTCCACTAAAATGCTTTGCGAACATTTATCACACTTGATATTTAAATGTTCCAACCTATTAATGTAGTTCGAATATGTACTGACTGGCGTTTTCGAAAATGTATGCACCACAGGGTGATGTGTCGGTATAAGATCGATACATTTTTCACAAACAGCAAAATTATTTGGACATTGGTTGCAACCTGGGTGTGGAGTGTGGGTGTGGGTGTGTGAGTGTGGGTGAGGGTGTGGCGGGTGTAAGGGCGTGGATAAGGGTGTGGCGGGTGTAAGGGCGTGGATGTGGATGTTGGTTCAAGTATTCTTTGAATATTTCACCACGCACGCCCAGCCTCGTATTCTCAGCCATTCCCACCCACACACCCACACCCTCAAATGATTGATCAAACGTAGAAGCACTCTTACCAGTCACTTCTATGAAAACAAGTTTGACGAATGTAACAATCGTAATCTTTTGCATCTCGCAATACAATTGTGTTATTATTCAAAACCCAATCTCATTAGTATGCAGCATTGCAATGAACGAGGCAACGAAAAATATTGAGTCGAATAAAATGTTTCTCCTTCATCTAGCTTCGTCCAATAAAAATGCTAAGCAACTGACTTTTGTCTTCAGCTACTTCTGTTTACTCTGTCTTCCGATCGAATGTTGATGTAATTATGAGCAAACGAAATTCTTAAATGTGGTGCGTCTATTTTGCGAGCAAGTAAAAAAAAGCAAAAAAGAGCAGAGCTCTTCGAGCAGGTGACTCTCATCATACTGCAAATGAATGCAGTCAGTCACTTTAATTTTTCACTTTCTTCACAATTTCATCTCAGAGACGGCGAACATCGATTGTGAGTATTTTAAGTAACACGGTATATCGTTTTCAATTTATTGCCAATCATCCAATATTTCTTTAAAATCACAAAGCATAAAACAATATGCGGCAGTATGTTAACCACCATAGTTAGTAATCAAATAAAAATTTTCCATGTAAAACAATTGTTCATGAAGTATACAATGGCAATAAAACTGAGTAAATCCCCGGGATTTTTATTCACAAGTAGCACTCTAAAAAGCATAGGTTTATTACCGTGGTGTGTGGGTGTGGGTGAGGAGGTGGGGGCGGGTGCGGATCTGGTTATCTGTCTATCCTCTATTCACACCCACCCACACCCTCACACCCACACCCCGACCCATACCCAACTTTTTCGCAATATATGAAAAATTATATTTGTGTTTTTCATTTAGAGAACGACAACACTGAAAACGTCAACCTACGCAAAAGACTTTGCATCTGTATCGAATTATGAATATCGCTGAGAATTTTGTAAGTGCTTTGCACCCTTTTTTCATTATCATCTAACAAAGATTCGAGGTGATGCTAGATCGAAAAAAATTCTGGCACTGTGAGACAAGAAAATAGTCTCTTAGGTATAAAAAAAATCTGATGAGGATGAGCTTTTAACATTTTTCTAATTAGGTTCTGGAAATTTGGATACCAGTCCACCCGGGACGTGGGATGTTTCTCGGGTGGCTCAGTGGCTGACCGAAATTCAATTCGGAGAATACCGGCAAACATTCGAAGGTATGATAAATTATAGAATAAGAGATACAAACCGCAAATCTTTTTCGCTAACTAGAAAATGAAATAGATGGATCAATATTGACAAGCAGCGAGTTTTCTGATGATACTTTGAAAGAGCTTATACCAAAAGTGGGACCTCGAATGAAACTTAAAAGATCTCTAACCGAATTATTGAAGTAAGTAAGAAGCTGTAATAGCTGATGCCAGTGATGGGATTGGCTCGTGTTTTTCGGGAACGGATCGAACCGAGCAGAAAAAGGCTTAAACCGAATCGAACCGAGCGACTTTTAAAAATTGTGAACCGAACCGAACCGAGCCGAAAAAATCTCAAACCGAAGCGAATCGATCGAAACCGATTGAAACCTAAACGGAATGCGGAAAGTTCGGAACATTCTCAGTGGGTAGCCAATTTTTTTTGTTAAACAACGATAATTGAAAGCAGTTTTATACCCTGTTCAGTGTAGAATATAGTGGGCTGCATGTCGGTAAAAAGCTTTCAGCATGCTATTAATATAGTTGAAAAATTAGAAAAAATATTACGACTTGAACGATTTTGATATAAAAACATGAAAAAAATACAATTTCTCATGATAAAACAGACAAAGTTTATGATTTATTTCAATTTTTCTGATTAACAATGAATATTTCCATCAGATTACTTCCATGGTTTTCATTAAAAGTCATTCTCATTGAATCAAATAGATTTTCAATCTAAATCATGGATTAATTTGATGAATATGTCCATTCTATTTAATGAAATTGAATAGAATCAAAACTAACGTCCGTTTTATAATTTTCAGGACAGATTTTTTATTTGCAAAGTCTCTAGGTAGACATATTGGTAAAGGAGGTGTCTCAAATTACGAACTTGGCATCTCAAAAAATGTGAGCCTCATTTTATTATCTTAAGAATCAGCATTCATCCCTGATTATTTTTCACAAGGTTATTTTCTGTTTTGTCATCACTCCTTTTTCATGCCTGAGTCCCCAGGGGGAATAAGCAGCTTCTGGCGGCTCCTTTTGGATTCTAGGATACAATAGGATCCATAGATTTCTCCAGAATCCAAAAGAAGCCACCAAGATCCAAGAGGAGCCACCAGGATCTATTGGAATCCATCAGAAGTGCTATGTTTCACAAAATTCGTACTGCTTTATGCGCAAAAACAAATAGCCAGAATAATTTGAAAATTGCCAAAGGTATTTGTCAAACTCAATCCTCAGGATTTTCCAATTAAAGCATAAGCTTGAAAGTCTATAATAAATCTTATGCATACTAATTATAGGTCAAACATTTCTTTTTCTTATACCCGAACACCTAAAAAGAACTTAAACATTTAAGTATATAGAAAGAGAAAAATTGAATCAATGATTCACCTCTTTTATTCTTTAATTTGATATTCATAGGAATAGTTTGTAAAGAAAAATATGTAGTTTTATGAAATACGGAAGTTCTTTAATTGAAACAAACAATTATGCTTTACTTGTTGAGAAAAAATTTGTCCGACTGTAAAACTACTCTTAAAAATCATAAAAGGGGTAACTACAAAGTATTAGTGGTTCTTTTACTGCTGCGTTCGATATGAAAAAACAATGATCCAGCCACAGTACAAACGAGCAAAAATATACATATCTTTTCGAATATAGAAGCGTATGATTAACCTGAGTGTATGAATCAACAAAATTAGCTTTGGTATTTAACTAGTGTTCACAGTGTAAGTCATTATCAGAGATAATTTTTAAATAGAAAGACTGACTTTGTCGAACATGAGCATCAGAGCTCTGCGACATACTCGAAATACTTTCCTAAGAAAATAAGTTTTGTGGCATTCTGTACTCTGGAGAAGCATGTATTTGAATAAACCTATACTTGACGTAAGTGTAGAAAACATTTTCAAGTAGAACCATGTGACATAATCAAGAGTCTAGAGGAGTGCTCAATTCTCTAAATTTCTGGATATGAGACATTGCCGTTCAATCATGAAATGTGTAGCTGATTTCTGTTTTTGATCATACACGTATCAGTAACCAATAAGAGGCACCATATCATACTATAAAGAGAGCAATATTCCATTTTTTTAAAATTCCTTTCGCGAAACATATAATATGTTTGTGGCAACTGATTCATCTGGAAGTTCTCTGTTATTATTCTTTGGGTGTGAGTGTGGGGTATTGATGTGGGTGTGGGTGTGGATGTGGATGTGGGTGTGGATGTGGGTGTGGATGTGGGTGTGGATGTGGGTGGATCTGGGTGGGTGTGGGTGTGGGTGTGGGTGTGGGTGTGCGTTGTGGGTGTGGGTGTGCGTTGTGGGTGCGGGTGTGCGTTGTGGGTGTGGGTGGGTCTGGGTGGGTGTGCGTTGCGGGTGTGGGTGTCCGTGTGGATGTGGATGTGGGTCTCGCTGAAAAAAAGATGCATACCCACACCCACATCCACACTCACACCCACACTCACACCCACACCCACGCCCACACTCACACCCACACACCCACACCCGCATCCACACCCACACTCACACCCACACACCCACACACCCACACACCCAGACACCCACACCCACACTCACACCCACACCCATCTCTCGTTTTCTAACTTCAACACTCAATTCCAATCGTGTTTTACAGAATCTTTATGTAAGAAGCGAAGGGAAACGACTTCAAAACACAGTTAGTTGTCTTTTTCTACTTGAAATCGCTGTGTTTTGCGACAGAATCATTTAGTCCCTTTCTTAGCGGTCAAGTGATTGCGAGTAAAAGTTGTGTGAAGCTCTTCTTTTCCTTTAAAACAGTTCGGGGAAAGAAGAACCAAAACCAGCTGATCCTCTACCAGGTACACAACCATCTCAGACGTCATCAGATTTGAATGCTTTAATAGTTCAAAAAGAAAGAAAGATAGCAAAGCTGACAAGCGATTGTGATGAACAGGTGCGTGAAATTACATCACTGAAAGAAAAAGTTCAACGGCAAATGGAACAAATACTATGGCAAGAAGAAGAATTAACAGCAAATAAGGAAGAAGTAAAAAAATATAATGAAGAAGTAACAAAATGGAGGGAAACTGTAACACAATTAATAGAAAGTACCAAAACAAAAAACCTGACAATAGAGACACAGCAACAACAAATACAAATACAACAACAACAAATAGAAACACAACAACAGCATATGCAAGAACAAAATAAACGAATTAGTCTTTTGGAAACAACAATCAGGGATCAAAAAGAACAAATTGAAAAATGGTTCCAAGCTCTAAAAGACATGAAACAAATACCAAAAGTTCCACCTAAAATAGCCTCCCTTTCCGCCCCACCTGATATACAAAATATGCTGCAAAATCCACCTTCAGGTACACCGATTCTTCCTAATGTACCACAACACTCACCACCAAACACCGCGCCAAATTTGGAAGCGGGAGCCCCAGCACTCATTAGCGTATCCCAGACTGCTGGAACTCCACCTAGCGCAGGAGCGCATCTTCCGTCTACGGTAGCTGGTCCTAGTTCTAGCGTCACGTTTCCAGCAATGGGACAGTCGAATGGAACAATTAGTACTACGGCACATGTTCCTGATCCGTATGATATTAATAGTTACGGGACATATCAAGTGACTATATTCGATGAAGCCCAACAAGAAATATTAGTCTCAACGCTTATTACAGTCGTACCGGATACGAAAATATGTGTACCAAAACAATTTGTAATTAGAGACGCACTGAACAATATTGTGGTTGGTGGAAGAGTCACATTAAAAAATGGCAACGGAACAATCGCTTTCACTGGAGTCACGGATTCCACAGGTAATGGTGACACAAGACGAGTAGGGGTGCCACATTACTATTACTTTTTATGACAAGTTTCTTTGCTTTTTACATTTTAATGATGCTAGTGCTTTTATTATTTCTTATTAGAGACATATGCAGTAGCTTCTTGTAAATTTATTACAAATTTCTTTTATTATCTTTAAAACTTTATTACTTATTATCAGTAATACGTAATAACGTTATTATTAATTACTTATTACCGGTAATAGTAATGTGACATCACTAAAGACGAGGAATTCAACCGTGTTCTCTCTAATACCTGAAAAACAACTAGCCCTTCGCTTTCCTCAACTCCTACAACAGTACGGTCTCTAATTAATTTTTGTGCTTTGCCTTGTTTCTTTCAAAAAAGGTACCGTTCGGATATCCGATACTCTTCCTGATGACATATATGATGTTGAAATTAATTCTAATAACTCACAACTGAAAACATTACAATTCAAAATGGTTGTTTTCCGAGGCATACGACCACCGAACAGCAATCAGTTTCCTGCCCCAAATGTGCCCAATCCAAATCAAATGAAATTTGTACTGAAATGGGATGCTCTTCCAGCAGATTTGGACTCACATATGTTTGCTTCCAATGGAACGCACGTTTATTATCAGAATACAGCGGCTGGCACGATGTCACTCGATTGTGATGTCACAAGTGGCGACGGTCCAGAAACTATCACCGTTGATTTTCAGCCAAACGTGAAATATGTTTATGTCGTTCATAGGTAAGAGGATAAGGATGTGCGAGTGCGGGTATGAGTGTTGGTTGTGGGTGTGCGGGTGCCAGTGCGGATTGTGGGTGTGGGTGTGTTGGTGGGAATGGCTGAGGATACGGGGCTGGACGTGCGTGGTGAAATATTCAAAGAATACTTGAATCGACACCCACACCCACCCACGGACTTATTTGGTTAATCAGACTGAGAGAAAGTAACCCATTAGTGGATGCACCTTTTCGCTCAACGCTTAGATATTTTTATAATAATAGACTTCCGCATTCTGATGCTCATTTTGTTCGTATTTCACGCGTCACTTTTCTAATTGGCTTCAATATGTTCGCCACTTAAGGGGCACTCGCCACAGGATTTTGCTTCATATTACTAAAGCGTCTCCACCGAGTATCGCATATTAATTTTGCAGAGATTTTTCGGAAAGCCTTTTGCTCACAATGCGAAGTTTTGAGAACATTACTTTGGTTTAGATATTCAAAAGATGCTGAATTGACAAAATCTAACGCGCAATTAGAAATTCATGGCATGCAACAACAGTTGATAGGTAACCCTAGAATACCAAGAGAAAATCGGCCACAAGCAAACTTTTGGATTGTCTGCATGATCGATGGTACAACAAGAAGTATAAAATATATAAATAAATTTGAAGAACATAACAACTATTCGACAAACGAAGTGGGTCAAAGATATTTCAATGCGTGATAACTTTCTACTTTGCTGAACTTAGTATCGTTCGTCTTACATGCAATCATTTGCATTTATAACGGAAAACGATTTATACTTCATCAATTTTTTTCAATTGTAGCATAAATACGGCTGCTTTTTTCGGACACAAAGATCCAAGAATTGAATAAAGAACTCCATTTTGATCTATTTAGCCGCTTCCAGTTAAATAACAACATAACTTTGCGTTGAGATTAAGCATAAAAATTGAATGCGCTGGATTGTTGATTTACCCCAGTTCGCGTGAATCAATATTTTCAAGATAGCTCTCAAGAAAGCCATCATATATATATTATCTACGCGAATTTTGAAAAACGATTTTGTGTTGGTGTGGACGTGGTGGGTGTGTTCAACATTTGTATCGTAGATGTATGATTTAAGCTTTCACACGACATGTAACGATTCCTTGCTGAGTGGTGTGACCATCAGGTATGTTTAGAATAATTGGCGAATACATCCATGAACGACGGTGAGGATTGTGACGTTCAACACTGAATTTATCTTGTCTTATTAGTGCTGGCCAAAAGTCCCGATCCTTCCCCCATAAACTACTTCAATTTTTCAAGCTATTTACTTGAAACTTTGGTTATTTGCATATCATAAGAAGCGCTGATAGGTGACATCGATCTGATATAGTTTTGATCTAATATAAGAGAATTATAAATCAAAGAATATATCAACCTAGGATAGTTAACATCTCAGCTGATGAACCACTTTGAATGTCGTGAAGTCCATCATTAGGGGGTGAAAAGCGGAGATCTGTGTAGGTGACAGTGGATGTTGGCGTATGTGTGTTGATATTATAGTTATACATACCACAGACCGTCATATGGCAGGACTACCCTGCCCTGCCATGAGTCAGGGCAGAGCACATTTTCATATTTAGCCCTGACCTGTAGGGCAAGGCAGGGCAGGGCAAAAATTTTTGCCCTGTAGCAAAAAAAATGAAAAAGTCTGATTCTAGTTTAGATTTTCTGATTAAAAAATCGATTAAAATGGCAATGCTTTTAGTCAATTTTAATCTAATTATTTCATGTTCAATCCATTTTGATCGAGTGCAATTGCCTTCTCAGAAATAATTTTGAATGAATTAAGCCTTGCTTATAAAATGAAGTTGATTAGAAATGTAATCGAGTCTTTTTTTCTGCTACACGTCTTAAGAAATCTCAATATGAACTGACTGCTTACTCACATAGTTTATGAACAAAGAAGGGTGTGGGTGTGATTCTTCTCTCAACACACCCACACCCTTACGTATCAAGGAACAAATAATTATGTCAGTAGATTTCATTTCGAATATGTCGAATCATTAGTCATACTGTCGAATGCTCGTATTAATTTTAATATATACCTTTGTACTTCTATTTTGTCATCTTACGTTAGACGAATATCAAGCGTCTAAGAAAATGATGAGGTGACAGTAAATATTTAACGAGCACATTTTCTTTCGTTCTTGTTGAAAACAAACGATATATTTACTTATGTGCATGCCATCGAACACAACAACTGTCATCTTCTTTTTCGTCCTGGCAAATACAACGAAAGTTTTGTTTCTAGCAGTGAGTAATCAAGCTCATCACGTTCATGTCATCTATATTCAGTACTGGTCAAAATTAAAAGATCACTTGGTCTTGACGCACTGGTTGTTTCCGTAGGCAATCATCTGCAGTTGTTTGAAAAACCTATGTATGTTTGAAAGAAGCATTCATTAGGATACCTACACCTTTTTTTGATAAGAAAAAATGTTTATAGAATAGAATTCTGTAAAATACGAATATTGAAAACTTCATTATTTTAAAAGTTTATACTGATAATTGTATTATCAATCAACATGAAAAAATCAATTATTTATCAATTAAGTTCCTTAGATGATATTGAGAACTCGAGGATTTACTAACTTTGAAAAACTGCTAGTAAATATTTAACTTTTAAGTACTATTGATCGAAGAGTTGAATAGATAATATTCATAGAAGAAAAATAGTTCATATTTAGTTCAGATGCTCGACGACTCAAAAGCTAGGCATTTATGATATTGAATCCAAAGTCTTCGTATTAAATTTCGATATGCCAAAATATCTATCGGGTGATCGATTGGATTATCCCTTTATATGATTTTAAAACATGATGAAAAAACTAATTTTGACTGTAGGTGTGAATCTTACCATTAGCTATGGCTACACACACTCTCATTACATTCTCCTTAAAAAAAAACACTTTTTCTTTCAAACTTTACAATTCCTTCTTGTTTATAGCTGTACGACTATAGCCGGCTACTGTAATGCAGAGTAAAAAAGAAAAGCAAATCGTCACCAAGCTACCTCTCTTATGGAAGGTAGATTGAATAAACGTTGTATGGTTTTCATCACTGCGTACGTGCTCTTTCATCATACTAAGTCAATAGAAATTTAACAAGGAACAATCAACAGAATTGACAGAGAAGAAGAAAAAATAATTTCTTCTTGTACAGTACAGCATTAGTCGTTACATTCTTTTTCTTATGAATCCAGTTTTTTTTTGTAGGCAGCATTAAAGCAATTTTTGGCTTTGCTTGCTTCGGTTTGATCTTCTGTACAGTGTATACAGCCTTGTAAGAGATAGTCTTGCATGATTTGGATTTACACATTCCGTTTTCTATTATCGTTTTGTAATTGAAACCAACTTATGCAGCAAGTCTCCACCACTACCAGTGGAACTGTTCACAATCCTAGTTGAAATTGTTATTTCTTAGTAATTAGAGTGCAAATAAAATTTTGTCTGACCTCGCTAGGAAAGAAAATTAAATCTTCTATCATCTAAACTAGATAAAGTTGGGACAAAAGTCCTTATAGCGAAACAAAATGAATATCTCCATTAAGACTCAAGCAAATAAACTGACTTTTTTCTGTATGAATGATACGGTATACTCAAGCTTTATATGCATGAAGATATGCGTAGAAAAATCGACTGTTAAGTATCACTATCGGTTTCAACAAAAAATAAAGCTTATTCTCGATTACTGGAAATATACTGTTGAAGAAGAATCTGCAGATGACTACAGATTCCTGAGTGCATATTTTGCCCAATCGTAGAAGATCGACGGATGAGTGTGATGTATGGGTATGAGAACAAGGCTCACGCATATCGCATTCACACTCACAATGGTCATGACATTTTTCGATACAAACTACGATCAAGCATGTATTGTTTTGAAAATGCCGATCGAATTTACACTATAGAGATTTCAAACACTTTCTTTAGTATCTTTCTAAAAAGCATGACTGATAAAAAAAACATGGAAGCAAAATTTGGGAAATTCATTTCAGGCAGCTAAATCAACATTGGTAAACAAATTACATATTCATGATTTCCACTCAGATGATCCTTCAAATACATATGATGCTGATACTACGGCATCGATGTGACCTTTATCATCAGTTTCACAAAAACCAAATTTCGAAGGCATTACATTGATTTGGTATGATCCACGAATTAATAAAACTGATGATACGAAGATAACGACAGAAGAATTACGAGAAATCAATGATTGCGTAATACAATATTCAGATCAAGCCGATTGTGTCAAGTATATGCAATCGGTTGACAGCGAAAAAATATTTCTCGTTATTTCAGGAAAAGCAACAATTTCTATCATGCCAGAAATTGAACAATTAAAACAAGTTGATTCAATTTTCATTTTTTGTTTCAAAGTTGAGATTTATCAATATTTATTAGAGAAATATGACTCAATCGTTGGCATCTATTGTGAACGTTCTTCTTTCATCGATTCCATTAAACAAAATGTCGAACTCTTACAGAAGCAATCAAATGTATTCAATTATTATAATGAACATGAAGAAAAAGCTACACGTGATATATCAAAAGAGTCTGCAGAATTTCTATGGTTTCAACTATTCAAAGATGTTCTTCTACGAATGTCACGAAATGACAGAGCGAAACAAGAATTGATTGAGTTTTGTCGTCAGTATTATCGTGGTAATCAAAAAGAATATAACAATATTATTGAATTTGAACAATCGTATCAATCAGATAAAAGTATTTATTGGTACACAAAAGATTCATTTTTGTCCAGACTTGTTAACAAAGCTCTGCGTACGGAAGATATAGGACAGTTACACATATTTCGATTTTTCATCAATGATTTATCATCGAAATTAGCTGAGTTCATAAGAAACAAAATCGGCAAGAAAATAATACTGTGATGCTGTATTGTGGTTTAAAATTGGAACTGGATGAATTGAAGAGATTGAAACAAAATTTAGGCTCTATAATTTCAGCTA